CGCATTTTATGGATGACAGTTTTTTGAACCTAGAAGAGTACAAGGCTGGCTGTGCACAAGGCTATTTCAAAAAAAAAAAAGGGTAAATTCCGACTTCGCTATGACAAGAGACAGAGAACTGAGATTACAGCTGCAGCACTGAAGAAGATACTAGAAGAAGAAGAACTACCAGCACACTTGATCTTCTAAGAATGATGGAGTGAAAGCAGGAAAGTGAAAGTAAATGACCTTAACCATGAATCTATGCTGGAACCACATGCTGAAGAAATTGGAGACAGATGTTTCCAGTGTCTTTTAACAGCTGTCAAGCTTAAAGGGACAGTTCACCCCAAAAATTCAAACATCATTTAGTCGCTCTCACACTGTCTTATTGGTGCATTGACAAGAGAAGTAGTGATGTCAGATTCATGAACTTGAGTCTTTTTTTGTAGTAAATCAGTTAATAAAACCTGAATGATTCAGAATGATTCATTCATGAATCAAACTGATCCGGTTCTTAACTTCAACTCAGTGACTTGAATGAATTATCCGGTCAAAGCAGTTAACAACTCACTGGAAGGATGAGTGAGCTAAGAGAACTCTTATGGCTACAGAAGAGAGTCATGGTCATATGGACCACTTTTAGGATAATTTTATGATTCATTGGCTTCCTTTTTGAAGCTTAAAATGACCAGTCCCTGTTTATTGTAACTGAATGGAAAAGAGCATGGACAACGGTCTTTAAAATTTCTCCTTTTGTGTTTTTTTGCAAAAGATAGAATATCAAACAGGTTTAGAACAAAATCAGAGTGAATACAATTTTCTTTTTGGATGAACTAATCCTTTAACAGATTATAGGAAAATATAAAAAAATAATAATAATCTATACAGAAAAAGTGCATTGGTGAAATCGGTATGTGAGGGCTTATCATAATCTGCAGGGCAACCAACAAGCATGCATCATAAGGTGGCGTCAAGCAAACAAGATATCAGAATCACTTTTCTTTGTTCAGAGGCTCACACAGCTTCTCTTGCTTTCTCTCCCTCTCTCTTTTTTACATCCCTGTGTCTCTCTCTGTCTTTAGTTTCAAATGAGAGACATGGACCTCTACACTGCAGCACACTGTAACTATAGCAACCTGTGAATTTCACTCACTTTCTGTATCATTTCTTACCAATCACACTGGTGAAGGCAATTGAGTCACATAAAGGAACCATATATAGAGCCTGCTCAACTGGACAGTGTACGGAAAGAAAGCTTTTAGAGTACTGGATTCAACAAATTTGACTTTAACAATCATTTGTGCAAAATTCAGTAATGTAAAACATCAAACGAATCCACCATTCAAATCGGACACTTTACAACCGTCTTTATTGCATTCTGCCATTGTGGTTTTCAGATAAATTTTTCTTAGTGGCAGAGTATATTTTAAATATCATCTGCATACAAATGATGTTTTTGCATTTTGCATGCATGAACCCCCCTCCCCTCAAATCACTGACAAAAAAAAAAAAGACATTCAATTCCAGAGGTGACGTTATCATACTCACAGTAAACATGAGCTGACAGCCACCCAGAATGTAGTCCAGGAAGGAATAGTCTCTTGTAATCTAACAAAGAAACGACACAGCAAAATGTTTTATATTCACATATACAGATCACGTCACCACCCTTTCACATTCCCTCAAGCTAAAGGTTGTAAAATGGTTGTTAATGCGAGTTCAAAAGGAGATTTAGGGAGAATAACTGAGTCATGTTCTGTTTTGATGCCTGAATCCATCAGTAGAGGTGATTAAATGGTGACGGTGCAAGAGTGATAAGGCGTTTTGTGCCTATATTAATACATATTATT